TACCCTTTGTAATTAAATAGTAACCCATGTATTGATGCTTTGAAACAATGTACATATGCTGTTAGGCCCCAAAATCATATATAAGGAAATAATCTTTGAAAATTTCCCAAATCTGGGTAAAGACAGCAACATCTAGGTGCAGGAAGCTTGGAGGCTGCCAATCAAATTTAACTCAAAAAGGGGTTCACCAAGACACAATATAATCAAATTACCAAAAATCAAAGCCAAAGAAAGAATACTAACAGCAGCAAGCAGTGAGAAACACACCACATTTAAGGGAGCCCCAGTACAGCCTTTAGCAGATTTCTTAGCAGAAACCCAACAGGCCAGGAGAGAGCAGAACAGTTAATTCAAAGTACTGAAGGAAACAAAGACTGTTAGTTTAGGCATCTACTGGTGGAATTTGTCTATAATTATTGAATGGTTACATTGATTTTCTAATTAGATATATCAATTAGCATTCTTCCGTAATAAAGACATTCTTATCTATCTCTTTTTATTGTCATTATAGCCTCATAGATTTTTATAACTTGTTATAAATCAGTATCCTCATTATTCTTCTATAATGCTTGCATTGACCCAGATTTGGCTGATGGAGCCCCTTGAAATGACTTCTATGGATTTTTTTTTTTTAATTTATTTATTATTATTATACTTTAAGTTGTAGAGTACATGTGCATAACGTGCAGGTTTGTTACATATGTATACTTGTGCCATGTTGGTGTGCTGCACCCATCAACTCGTCATTTACATCAGGTATAACTCCCAATGCAATCCCTCTCCCCTCTCCCCTCCCCATGATAGGCCCCGGTGTGTGATGTTCCCCTTCCTGAGTCCAAGTGATCTCATTGTTCAGTTCCCACCTATGAGTGAGAACATGCGGTGTTTGGTTTTCTGTTCTTATGATAGTTTGCTAAGAATGATGGTTTCCAGCTGCATCCATGTCCCTACAAAGGACACAAACTCATCCTTTTTGATGGCTGCATAGTATTCCATGGTGTATATGTGCTACATTTTCTTAATCCAATCTGTCACTGATGGACATTTGGGTTGATTCCAAGTCTTTGCTATTGTGAATAGTGCTGCAATAAACATACGTGTGCATGTGTCTTTATAGCAGCATAATTTATAATCCTTTGGGTATATACCCAGTAATGGGATGGCTGGGTCATATGGTACATCTAGTTCTAGATCCTTGAGGAATCGCCATACTGTTTTCCATAATGGTTGAACTAGTTTACAATCCCACCAACAGTGTAAAAGTGTTCCTATTTCTCCACATCCTCTCCAGCACCTGTTGTTTCCTGACTTTTTAATGATCGCCATTCTACTGGTGTGAGATGGTATCTCATTGTGGTTTTGATTTGCATTTCTCTGATGGCCAGTGATGATGAGCATTTTTTCATGTGTCTGTTGGCTGTATGAGTGTCTTCTTTTGAGAAATGTCTGTTCATATCCTTTGCCCACTTTTTGATGGGGTTGTTTGTTTTTTTCTTGTAAATTTGTTTGAGTTCTTTGTAGGTTCTGGATATTAGCCCTTTGTCAGATGAGTAGATTGCAAAAATTTTCTCCCATTCTGTAGGTTGCCTGTTCACTCTGATGATAGTTTCTTTTGCTGTGCAGAAGCTCTTTAGTTTAATGAGATCCCATTTGTCAATTTTGGCTTTTGCTGCTGTTGCTTTTGGTGTTTTAGACATGAAGTCTTTGCCCATGCCTATGTCCTGAATGGTACTACCTAGGTTTTCCTCTAGGATTTTTATGGTATTAGGTCTAAAATTTAAGTCTCTAATCCATCTTGAATTAATTTTCGTATAAGGAGTAAGGAAAGGATCCAGTTTCAGCTTTCTACTTATGGCTAGCCAATTTTCCCAGCACCATTTATTAAATAGGGAATCCTTTCCCCATTTCTTGTTTCTCTCAGGTTTGTCAAAGATCAGATGGCTGTAGATGTGTGGTATTATTTCTGAGGACTCTGTTCTGTTCCATTGGTCTATATCTCTGTTTTGGTACCAGTACCATGCTGTTTTGGTTACTGTAGCCTTGTAGTATAGTTTGAAGTCAGGTAGCGTGATGCCTCCAGCTTTGTTCTTTTGACTTAGGATTGTCTTGGAGATGCGGGCTCTTTTTTGGTTCCATATGAACTTTAAAGCAGTTTTTTCCAATTCTGTGAAGAAACTCATTGGTAGCTTGATGGGGATGGCATTGAATCTATAAATTACCTTGGGCAGTATGGCCATTTTCACGATATTGATTCTTCCTATCCATGAGCATGGTATGTTCTTCCATTTGTTTGTGTCCTCTTTTATTTCACTGAGCAGTGGTTTGTAGTTCTCCTTGAAGAGGTCCTTTACATCCCTTGTAAGTTGGATTCCTAGGTATTTTATTCTCTTTGAAGCAATTGTGAATGGAAGTTCATTCCTGATTTGGCTCTCTGTTTGTCTGTTACTGGTGTATAAGAATGCTTGTGATTTTTGCACATTAATTTTGTATCCTGAGACTTTGCTGAAGTTGCGCTTCTATGGATTTTGAACCTGTCTTCTTGATTCTGATCTTTTTCTTGATTTCTACCAAAAGATCTTCTAACATTTTTCCTTCCCTTGATATGGAAGCAGCCATATCAAGGAATCACATTTGGAATAAAGTAATGTACCTATTGTTACTGGGGAACACAAACAAAAAGCAAATACAGCCATTAGTTAATTTACTTTGTATTGTTTTTCAGACCCTTCCCTGGATAGAGTTAGGAAGTATATAATCTTTAAAATCTTAAGTTCGTATTAATAACTCCAATTCAAATCAGCACCACAGATTTCTTCCTCATCTTCCCCTGTTTCTTATTTATATCTCTCTTCTCTTTGTAAAAAATCTAATTCCAGGAAATATCAATAAATTACTTATTTCTCTCTTCTACAGTATCAAAAATGTCTCAGAAGTACTGCACTAAAAACATTAGCCATAACACATCACCCAAGAGAAGTTTAATCTCAATTTCCTTTAGTATCATTGCAGTACACCACCGTAAATCTAAAGTCAGTGGAGACTCTAAAAACGCAATCAAATAAAATAAATATTACCTCCAAAGAAGGTATGCAAATTGCCCATAGGCACAAGAAAAGACTTGTAACATCTTTAGTCATTAGGTAAATGCAAATCAAACCACAATGAGATATCATTCACTTACTAGGATGGCTATAAAAATAGTAATCATCGGCCGGCCCGGTGGCTCCTGCCTCTAATCCCAGCACTTTGGGAGGCCGAGATGGGCGGATCACAAGGTCAGGAGATCGAGACCATCCTGGCTAACACCGTGAAACCCCGTCTCTACTGAAAATACAAAAAATTAGCCGGGCGTCGTGGCGGGCGCCTGTAGTCCCAGCTACTCGGGAAGCTGAGGCAGGAGAATGGCATAAACCCGGGAGGCAGAGCTTGCAGTGAACCGAGATCGCACCACTGCACTCCAGCCTGGGTGACGGAGCAAGACTCTGTCTCAAAAAAAAAAAAAAGTAATCATCATCATCATATTTTTGAAAAAAAAAAAAGAAAAGGAAATAACAAGTCCTGGAAATGTGAAGAAGCCGGACATTGCTCGTGGAAAGCTAAAATTTTGCAGTTGCAACAAAAAAACATTTTAGTAGTTACTCAAAATGAGAAACAGAATTACCAAAGGACCCAGAAGTTCCACTCCTAGGTATATACCCAAAAGAATTTAAAACAAGGAATCAAACAGATATTTTCAGACCAATCTTGACTGCACCATTGTTCTCAATATCTACAAGGTGGAAACCATCGAAATGTCAATTGACTAATGAATGAATAAACAAAAGTATTATATACATACAATGGAATACGATTGAAAATGAAAAGAAATGAAGTTCTGATCAATGCTACAATATGGATGCATCTGGAAAGCATTATGCTAAGTGAAAAAAGACAGAAACAAAAGGAAAAATATTGCCTGATTTCGTATAAATACATTATCTACAATAGGCAAATTTGTTCATACAGAAAATAGAGTTTGCCAGAGGAGGGGGAAAGTAAAGTTATTACTTAATGGGTACAAGGTTTCTGTTTGGGGCGACGAAAATAATTTTGGAAATGGATAATGCTGATAATTCCACAACAAGGTGAATGTACTTAATGCCACTGAATTGTACATTTAAAAAATAAATTGACAACTTTATATGTTACACTCATTTTACCATACTTTTTAAAAGATGGAAAGACTACCTTCGAAATAGGAAAACCACTGACAGCTGCATTCTCCATTATTGAACTTAAAGACAATGAAAGGAACCCAAGGGATTTAAATACGCTGATAAATTTTCCAGAAACGTGGTTTGTCACAATATATCCCACAGTGAGTTTTCTGATGTAGTTGTAATTATTTTTTGTAATAAATATATGAACAATTTTCACTAGTCCATATGTCTAGTCAAATGTAGGACTGTCATTCCTTGGAAAAGTATCCAGTCTAGCAATTTTGAAATCATAACTTACTGTTTCAGGTTACAATATTCTGATTGTAAGTAAGGTTGAAAATATATTCTCATGTTTAGTGGTAACGTATGTTCACTCTTGTGTGAATTGCCTACTTATCCTCAGTATTGCTGTTTTTATTGGGTTGTCTTCTTTTTTTTTTTTTTTTTTTTTGAGACTGAGTCGCCCAAGCTGGAGTGCAGTGGCGAGATCTCGGCTCACTGCAAGCTCCGCCTCCCGGGTTCACGCCATTCTCCTGCCTCAGCCTCCTGAGTAGCTGGGACTACAGGCGCCCGCCACGACGCCCGGCTAATTTTTTGTATTTTTAGTAGAGACGGGGTTTCACCGTGTTAGTCAGGATGGTCTCGATCTCCTGACCTTGTGATCCGCCCGCCTAGGCCTCCCAAAGTGCTGGGATTACAGGCGTGAGCCACCGCGCCCGGCCGGGTTGTCTTCTCAATATTAAGTAATAAGAATATTTTACTCATTCTAGATACTAATTCTCTTAGATAAAAACAGCTGCGCTACAGAAAACAAAACAAACAAAACAAATCTAAAATCTCACTGGTGTAGCTCTGTGAAGTCTTACTTCCCGTGACCACAAAGTTCAGTGTGGCATGAGCAGCTTTCTTCAGTGATTGTCCACCAAATTATGACCCAGTGAGCCAGGCTGCTTCCATATTATCATCAGCCAATCTGTACCTTGTAGCTCCCAAGTTCAAGACATGGCAAAAGAGAGTTGAAGAGTGTCCGTGCACAAGAGTTGACAGGAGGCTGGACACTGAAGTGCTTAGAAAGTCCTGCTTGCAAGATTGGACTTTGGCTGAAATCCGGGAACTTGGCTGGTGAACAGGGTCCTGAACTGACGTAAAGTTTCTCCTGACTGAGAGGGGTGGCTCATTGTGCCCAGGCTGGTGTTGCAAATAACAATTATGCTGAACATCAGATTTCCTTCTGGGATCTAGACTTTTGGTTCATGCTAGACAGTAGGTGCCTGTGTGAACAGCCTCTACTAAACCCTCTTGGATGCTAAGCCTGTAATGGGCTCCCTTGGCAGAAACAGTGCACATGTGTTCATGCATTTTTGCTTCTGGGAGGAGAGAGAGCTCTGTGTGTCCCCTCCTGGGAGGAAGAGAGCATAAGGAAGCCCGCCTGTGAATTCCTCCAGATTCCACCTGTGTGTTTTCTTCATATGATCTGTTGCAGAGGATTTACTATGACATTTTAATAAATGTTAGCCATGAGGACAACTCTATGCCATATACCGACACTCTAAACACGGGAGTACATTTAGAGACTCTCAACACAGTGCCACAGAATATTTTTAAGGGCTAGGCTTGAAATGAGGTGACATCATTTTATCCCACTCTTCAGAACCTGGTGACATGTTCCCAACCCTCCAAATGCAAGGGAGGCCAGAAACCATGGAGGGGCTACGGGTATTCAGTGATGTTCTGAACGTTCTCTGTCACACCGAATGTTCTCTGTCACACTGATTTTTCATCATTTGTATGCATTCCTCATGCCTTTCCCAAGCTGTAGCTTAACTTTTTAATTTTTATGGTGTGTTTTGGCTTGGAACAATTTAGTGCAATTAGCATTATGAATATTGTTCTTTTGGCTTGTGGCTTTTTTTTTGTCTCCTCTAAAAAAGTCATCCCCCAAATGAATGCATAAAATATTTTTCTAGTAAACTTTCTTTTTTGCTCTTTACAGTTAAGAGCAAGTGTGCCTGAAATACACTTTAATTTAAGAAATGAAATAGAGATGTAGGACTAAGTGGGTGGTATGCATACTCAGTGCAGAAGAAAGAATTTGTATAAACAATCCCCAGGGTGGAAAACAACGGACACATGTGAAGAAATAACTGCATGTAGGGGAGCGTGACTGGAGCAGACAGCCAGGGAAAACATGGTGCAAAATGACGACGAAGAGGTAGGTAAATGGCTAATGATACAGGACCTTGTGGGTCTATTACCCTTAGAAGAAAGGCCCCCCAGGAGCAGAGACCACATGGGCAAAGATTTATGATTGTGAGTTGAAGGGTGGTAGAGGGTAGGGGAAAGGGTAGATGGACAAGTCACCTATCCCTTAGGGGAGAGAAGAATATGGTGGATTTCAAATTGTCAAGGAAATTAGGAATCTCAACTAAAGATGCCTTTTCCATTTTACAAAAGGAAACAGGGAACTGCAGAAGCTAAGGGTGTTGGGGTGACCTCCAGTTGGTCTGAGACTGGGGTAGGAATGGACCTCAACACCAAGGGTCATATGGTCCCTGCTCTATGGCCCCCAGGCTAGCCAGGGCTCTCTGACTCCTATGAAGGCTAGGACTTGGGAGCACAGGCAACCTCAATCATTCTAACTGCCCTTTATGTGCAGAGAGGAGGCAGCTGTGCAGCACTGTGGACTCACTGCTGGCGCAGAAATATACAGATGTCTGGGAGGAGGCAGCAGACTCCAGAGTGAGGGGGAAATCCTCTTTATTTGATCTAGAGACACTGTAGCCATCTGGGACTTCTCCTTTGTTAGTGTCTGGAACACCATATGAGTAATGGATCAGTCTCAGCCCGTGTCCCAGGTCTTGTCGGTACCAGAACATATTGTTGTGGTTCCAAGTCTGGTGACACGTCAAGGTCACCTTCCTTCCTGTCTCTGTGATCTTGTGTCTTGGGCTCTGGATGATTTCAGCATCCCTGTGTCCTGTAATAGAGAACAACAGATACTGACGCTGTCATCCCAATAGAAAAGCTTGCATTGAGGCCTTGGGAATTTCAGGGAAGGAGGCCCTCCTGTGACCAGCCCTCACCTGCCCACAGCAGACAAAGGGCCACATAGAAGAAGAGCCTGGTGCCCATTTCAGCTCCAGGGCAGGATCTTGTGTTTCCCAGCCCTGCTGTGGGCAAATTGAAGTTGGGCTCTAAGTGACTTGATGATGTCACTGTCCTTGCTAAATGCTTGAACTGCAGAGCTAACCTGCCACGCCCCTTCTCTTCCCCACAGGAACAAATCATTTATAACAGAGTTGAATAATTTTTAGGTCTGTTTTGAAAGAAATCTAATAAACTCCTTAACTCTTTCCCTGATTTTAGTAGGGGAATTTGTTCTTCTATGTATATTTTATTTCCATTATGAGAAATTCTTTATTTGAATACTATTTTCACTTTTATGAATATTTCTCTAGGCTAAAGAACATTGTCATAGCAGTCCTGGTGCCTTTTATGACTTCCTGCACAAAATTCAACTCCAAATTGAATTATTTTCCTCTTCGTTTAAGCTCTGGACACTTGTATGTCAGCCTACAGGGATACCTCGGTTAAATGACATCCAGAAAGGTCTCCAAGTTCGAAGTTCAAGGTTCAAGGTCATTACCGTTTGAAGACTTGCTTCATGCTATAGCCCCTCATTACACCTGATGGGAGTGTCACCATCCAAGCTCAGGCTGCTGTGTGTTCTCATGGGCATGTTTTCCCCCTTTGCTTCAGGTGATGCCGCAAACACTGCACCATCTAAGTCCCCTGAGTGACTGTACTTCCTGGGAAGAAGAGAGGAGGCTAATCATTAGGAATGTGTATGAAATGTTCATCCAGAACTACACCTATCTGGAGCCTCTAGGGTCACAGGAAAAGGCTCTATTCCCATCCAGAAGATCTTATATTCACCAAATGGGAGAAGGTTGATGGATTCGTAAATGTGCTATGGTGCAAAACTCACACCTAGTCCATAGCACTGCAATAGTTATTTCAGATACAGTAGGTTATCTATTTTACATCCTGATGCAACCTGGATGAGTAATTCCCACAATCACGCTCCAGTGAGAGAGGACACAGAATCAGAAGTGGAGACAGGGAGGACGCCCATGAGCACCCCCACAGGAGGCCGTGGTTGGGTCCTGGCAAGCCCAGGAAGGACTTTCTCATCTATGCCCAGAACTCACCTGATCCTGGGAGACTAAGAGCCACACAGAAAAGGAGCCAATCCTCATGGTTGGGCCAGGGCAGGAAAAAAAAAAAAAAAAAAAAAAAAAAAAAAGCTTTTCAGACCTTCATTTTGCAAGGCAAGGCACATAGAATTACAGAGCTCTAAGGATCGTTCCCTAAATCAGGTATGATCTACCAAGAATGTTGGTATTCTCAGCAACACTCTAACTTCTCTGGGGAGATAAGCACCTACCAGGAATGTATCCTTCTACTTTCAAATTAATTTATTATTAAGTGTAATAAATTACAATAATTACATGTTAAAATTGTCTACCTCAACTTGAAGCTTTGTCTGTTTTTTGCACTGGTGTTTCCCAAGTACCTGAACAGTACCTAAGTAGTTGCCAAGAAGCCAATGAAGAATAACCTCAGGCCTTCTCACTTGCACAGGATCTTTTCAACACTTTGCTATTTTGCATTCTCTTTTGCAAAGAGCTACCTAAAATGTATCAGCTTTGTGTCCCACAAAACTTGAATCTAGTCTTCACCTATAACTTATTAAACGTTTGTTGAATGAATGAAGAAAGGAATGAATGATTATCTGAGTCCAGGCGGATTCTACTTCTGTATTCAGTTCAAAACAAGTTTGAAGTTTTAAGGGAGCAGAGAGCCATCCTGAGAATGTTGGGAACTCCAGATGAATCTAAGTGGATTTGGAAAAGATTAGTTTGTATACATCATCATAAGACTTTTTAAATGAATGAGTAGCAGTATGAATAAAAGATAAACAGTGGTCTCCTTCAAAAGGAAGGGTCTTTCGATGGTCGCTTCATTCCATCACTGCCACAGTTTAGTCTGTCTCTGAAGACTGTCTGTGATGGGGAGACTTGGGTATATGTAGCTGATTTGGGAAATGATTCCAGGAAGAAGTAAGAGAGCAAGAAAAACAAAATAGGGAAGGGAGAAACCAGGATAAAGGTGCAATATTCTATGTGTGCTGGGGCAACAGGAGATGGAATCCATCAGGACCTCCAAGAGCATAGGGTGCTCTCTGGAGTATCTGCATGAATGGGCAGGTTGGAGCTTTTGTCCCCTGTCCTGTTCCACCAGGAGCATCAGGACCTCTGGCTGTCTTTGAGTACAGCCCAAGTGAATTCAGATAATATCAGAGAAGGCCCCAGAGCAGGCGGCAGCAACATTCCCAGCAGACAGTGTGGAAGGGCACAGTCAGCAGGAGGTGAATGGGAACTGGCACTGTCCACGGCAGCAAGGCTGAAGTCAGAGAGGGATGGAGAGGAGGTCACGGAAGCCACTAGAAGCTCCTCTGTGATCTCCTTTCCCATAAAGCTGTGCCTTCTTCTATCAGCTCTGTTGTGTGATGGCCAATTGCACTGAAGCCATGTCTTTCTGGGCGCACCACACCTTCATGCATATCAAACTCAGTTATCAAGCAGGAAGTTCATAAGGGGGAACATTCTCATATTTCCTTAAATGGCAACTCTTTATGTTAATTTTGCATAATGAACTATCAGACTACTATATTTGCATTTTAGATGACTTTGTGTCTGAAACATGGTTGAATCAGGCAAAAGTAATCTGTGCTTGCCTTTGTTACCAGAATTTCAGAGAGTAAATAACTGTGCTAGACTGGAGATTTGTCAGAGAATTTATAGGGACCTAAGATTTATTGAACCTGTACTTTAGATGACTCTAGTTTTTAAAGTTATCTCTCTAAAATCTCTGCAAGACTGGCCAACAAGGTGAAACCTCGTCTCCACTAAAAATACAAAAATTAGCTGGGCTTGGTGGTGTGTGCCTTTAGTCCCAGCCACTCGGGAGGCTGAGGCAGGAGAATTGCTTGAACCTGGGAGGTGGAGGTTGCAGTGAGCCGAGATCATGCCACTGAATTCCAGCCTGGTGACAGAGCAAGACTCCATCTCAAAAAAACAAACAAACAAACAAACAAACAAACAAAACTCTGCAAATTGAATTCAGTTTACAAATGAGAACACTCAGCCAAATATATTTCAGGTCACCAGCCCAAGGGTTCAGAATATGAACTGCCGAGGTCTCCTTGTCTCTTTGATGAATGAGGACTATAATCTGCATTTATAGATATTTTTAACTCTCTTTCTTCACTATTTCTGTTGGTCTCAGTCTATTCCTTTGCAAGATATTTATCTTTCTTAGACTGCTTTATAAATCGTCTCTTCATCATTCATATTCTTCTATTTTAACACTGAGGTAACTATTTAACCTGGGATTTATTTGAATTCTTGAAACTCAGGTTTTAGGTCTTTAGTTGTCCTGGAAATTTCTCAGCTAGTATCACACACGATATCACCTCTTATCATTCTTCTTATTTTCTTTCTCTTATACTTCAATGACATATAAGAATAAATGGGAAATTCTTATGAAATGTTACATATATTCGAAAATAACTGAAACCTCCATTGTTTCTTCTCTGTTGCTTCACTTCTGTTTCATATTATACAGTTAATTTTTTGTGTTGTTCTGGGTAACTTCTTCAGATTTGTCTTTGAAATTAATGTCTTTGAAATCTCTTCAATGAGCATTAATCTGCTCTTCACTTTATCCATTTTCTTTCAGTCATTTTAGGGATCATTTCTAGACATCCCATTTAATGCTTTTTAAAAAGTTAATGGTTTCTGAGAGTCTCTTTTTTCTTGTTCAGCTTTCAATTCTCTTTTGTGTGCATTTAACTATAGCTCTTCAAACTTTCATATCTCATGATGCTAAAATTAAACATTCAGACTGCCTATTGTGAATGTTTTTGAATTCTGCCAACTTTTCCTCATTTTTTTTTTGTTTTAATATTCTTCATAATGGGAGTATATTTGTCTGACATTTGTCTCTGGAGTTTTGGAGAGGCTAAGATTAAGAGTGCACAGCTTCAACAGGCTATACCGTCTGCCAATGTCTCCAGTCTCACCCCCAAATGCATGAGTCAAGAACTGTCTGCTGCTTTCTGGGCTGCTAACCACACCATGGATTATGTTCCTCATATCATAATCTTTTCTCAGGACAACCCCGATGTAGGCTCCAGAAGAGAATTCTGATTTTCTAATTCTTTGTCTTTATACTATCTCCACAAATCAGAGCCCACGGGCCCCTGAAGTTCTATATAATGAAACTTCCTAAATCTGCAAACATTATCTCTTCTTTCCTTTTTGTCCTACCCAAATCTTCAGGCACTAGCCTATATGCAAATTACACTTGTAGACTTTATGCTTATTCAAGTTAAACAACATACCGTATTTTAAATCAAAAATTCCCAAACCAGCTGACAAACTGGCTTCCATAAAGAGTGGCCCTAGGCTTGTTGGACAAGTGAACACTTGTTTATAAACCCCCGCAGACCATCTCAGTCATAGAGAGACTCTTCAACTCTTAAATATTCCGGACTCTGGATAACTAGGAACTAAAATGTGGAAAAGAAAGTCCTAGTAAAGAGATTTGGTTTACCATGGGTTGTCTTAAGACTATACTGGAGATACCCTCGGTTTACTACTAGTTCCAACTTATTAAAAATAAAATGAATATACTTTACATTGAAAACATATGCTCTTCATTTCCCTTTAATGGGATTAAGAGGTCAAATTAATCATAAATTAAATCTGCCTAGATATATAGATAGACATGGTGGTCAAAGGACAAAACTCTTTTTTTTAGAGATGGAGTCTTGCTCTGTTGCCCAGGCTGGAGTGCAGTGACGAGATTTTAGCTCACTGCAACCTCTGCCTCCTGGGTTTAAGCAATTCTCCTGCCTCAGTTTCCCAAGTAGCTGGGACTACAGGTATGTGCCACCATGCCCAGCTATTTTTTCTTTTTAAGTAGAAATGGGGTTTCACAATATGTTGGCCAGGTTGGTCTCGAACTCCTGACCTCAGGTGGCCCACCCACCTCGGGCTTCCAAAGTGCTGGGATTACAGGCATGAGCCACCATGCCTGGCCAACAAAACTCTATTGGCAAGACCGTTTCTGGCAGTTGGTCAATGTGGAGCAGGAAAGAGGCCGGTATCTGAATTAGTTGCTGTGGGGTTAGATGCTGGGACTTGTGATATCCCGGGTACTCAGCTGATCTGGGGGTCCGAGCATGAGGTATGTCTTACTGGGAACTGAATGAAGTCAGGAGAAGGATTTTCTTAGGAAATTTTCTTTCAGTCTCCTCAGACATATTTGGGCACTTTTACCCTGTCTGTTTTTCCCTGTTTAGAGCCAGGTCTACACAGGGAAGAAGGCATCTCTACAATACTGTATTCTTACCCTCATCAGAGAAATGCAGGGCTAGTCCCTCAGTTCTGAGAGTTTCCCTTTGAGTTTGTCCTCAGATTACTGAGCTGGGGGTCAGCTATGAATCCATGAAGCGCATTTCTCATACTGTGGAGCCCAAAGGGAGACCAGAGTACTTGCTTGGGGTATAACAGAACTGGGCCCTGGAAGGCAGCTAGAGGTGAGCTTCCCCCCCTCTGTCTCTGTGGGTCGCCACACTTTGACCAGGGGCCCTGATGTCCATGCAACTCCAGCAGGGCGGAAGCTCAGGAAGGAGATGGAAGCAGGAGGCAGAGCCCTGTGTCCGAGTGGAGGGAGACTGCAGGCACAGGTTAAAAGAAAAGCCAGTAGCTGGGGCCTGGAACATCTAGGACAGAGACATCTAAGTTGTGTCCATATTCACCTGGGCAGCAGTGGTGCCCCCAAAAGTGGAGACTGGAGACCACGGTAGATTGAAACAGGTATGTGACCAGATGCCTCAACCTGGGAGAATCCATACTGTACCAGGTTGTGTTAACCCAACTTAGCCAGGACAAGAAATTATATTTCTAAGAATGCCTTTATCTTTATGATTCTGGGTTACAGTTGGTCAAGGAGCTATTTGTGTGAACTTTGGAAGGCAGAAGTAAAACTGTCACCACTATACTTGGTAGGACATTAGGCTAAATGAGATAAGCCAATCACAAAAAGACAAAAATCTGCATAATGTCATTTACATGAGTTATCTAAAATAGTGCAACTCAAGGAAGCAAAGACTAGAATGGTGGTGGCCAGGGTCTGGGGAATGGAGTAAATGGGGAGTTGCTGCCAATGTGTATAAAATTTCAATCATGCAAGATGAATGAGATCTAGAGATCTGCTGTACAACATCATGACCTCAGATTATAAAACTGTGCTCTGCACTTACAAGTCTATAAAAAGGGTAGATCTCATGTTAAATACTATTACTAAAAACTTTAAAAAATCTGGCAAAAGGATGTAGGTAGCCAAAGGGAGAAAGAGAAGAAAGAGGAAATTCATATAAATCAGAAACGGAGTAAACTAATTAGAATATACCAAAAATTGCAGATCTCGAAACCCTCAAATGCAAGAAACACCCTTTTCTTCATTTTTAAAAATTTTCCCTTTTTTCTAATCATCTTTTTTTTCCATTGTGTATTTCATGTGATGTAATCCCTTGCACAAAGTAGGATGCCCCAAAAGATTTATTGATAAAGGATAAAAAATGGACCTGACGCAATGGTTCACACCTGTAATCCCAGCACATTGGGAGGCCAAGGCAGGTGGATCACCTGAGGTCGGGAGTTTGAGGCCAGCCTGGCCAAGATGGAGAAACTCCATCTCTGCTAAAAACACAAAACTGGCCAGGTGTGGTGGAGGCTGCCTGGGAGGCTGAGGCAGGAGAATCGCTTGAACCTAGGAGGTGGAGGTTGCAGTGAGCCGAGATAGCACCACAGCACTCCAGCCTGGGCAACAAGAGCGAAACTCTGTCTAAAAAAAAAAAAAAGAATGAAGAATATTAACTAATGAATAACAAATTTTCAAGTCCTTTCCCTGATGGTAGATTGCATCGGGCACAGGAAGACTACATGCCCCATGAAAAACATTTCCTGCCCTTTGCTATGAACCTGGGAAAGCTCCCTCCTCATACAGTCTCCGTAAAAGAGATGCCTGGCCTTGCCCATAGGAGGGCCACAGAGCAGAAAACTGCACCTTTCTTTTCTTTCCTTTTTTTTTTTTAAATCACAATAAAGAGTAAATGGGTATGTTTTGCCTGGAAATCATGTGTTCATTGGACTTGTCAGGGAAGAAGTTATCATGATCACAGCTTCATGCATGACCTTAGCATCCTGCTCTTGGGGACATGAAAAGGGGACACCAGGTAAAAGGACAGATCTCCGGAGTGAGGAGGGACAGTGCAGAGGTGTTGAAAAAACAGACTTCGGCTAGCTATTAAATATGAGCCCCAGGACATCTGCTGTCCCTCAGATATGTAAACAGGTGAAATAATACTTGGCTTAGACAGTTTCAGTGAGCATTAAACCAGATCTCATACAGAAGCACCAGAGAGTGCCTGGGAAAGGCCTGTCCGCTCTCCAGGGCCTGAGGCCCTCTGGCTGGCAGCCCTCCCCTCACCGTCACTTCCTGAGTGGGGCAGGAATGTTATTGCACAGAAGGCTGATGCTCACGCAGGGCTGTGCTAAGCTGCTGGCACAGAAATACAACCCCGAGTCCCCCAGCTCCAGAGAGCTCAGGTTTAGTTCAGAGTGCAAGTCAGCGAACTGTTGTGCTGAGAATCTTTCAAGAATGTTTCCTTTTGCTCTCTCTTCCCCATTATAATACTGAATGAGGAACTGGAGGCCCTGGCCCAGGCTCTGTTGGTACCAGTACACGGAGCGGTCTCCAGACCTAGGGGAGCATCTCAGCGTCACTTGCTGTCCAATTGCTGTGATCAGGTGCTTTGGGGTTTGTGTGACTCCACAATCCACTGAGCCTGTGTGTCGGAAGACAGAAGTTAAGCATAAGGCGCAGAAGAAAGCCTCCTGCTGAAGCCATCATCGGCCTGCGTGCATTTCAGGGACAGGAAATGGAGATCGGAGACTTTGAAGCTGTGCCCAAGACTCACCTGCTCCCAGGAGACAAAAGGCCACACAACAAAGGAGCCTGAAGCCCATGGCAGGATCTCCCAGCTCCGGGCTGGTATCTCTGTAGTAAGTATTGTGCAGTTCCCAAGCTCTCTTCTTCCTGATAGGAGCATTGGCCTGTGATGTCACCGCACTGACGTACTTTCCCCTGCAGGCCACTCCAGCCCACAGTACTCTTTGGCAGGTCTCAGGTTCTGCTACTCCATGTACTATTCCTGTCTTGTACAGGCCAGAAGCCAAACGTGAGGAGGATTGAACACAGTCCCCACATGCCCACATCACACCTTACTTTCCTCTGCCCGCCCTGTCCCCGCCCTGACACTGATTCCCCAGTCCTTGCCCCCCCAGCCTGTTCACCCTCTGCTGCCTGTGCAGAGCCAGAGACACTCCCTCTTTAGTGCAAACTGAGGCCTCTGGCGCCCCAACTCTTCCAAGGCAATGAGAGGTTGTGCTTAACTCTATGTGTCCAGGCCCCGCTCAGGGAATTCCATCCACTCCGCTGATGCCGGCAGGCAGCCAGGCATCCCCTTCAGCCCCACTCTCTCGGCTCCTCTCCCAACCCTCCGCTGAGTTCTCTGCAGTATTGTGGAGCCACAGCGCCTCCAAGTGGCCAACAGTCTACAATCTCATGGATTCATACCTTCTGACGCGATATGCTCAAATTGTCCAAATCAGAAACAGAGATGTCCCCAGTCCTGCCACCCCCACCCTCTAACACACCCTCTCTATGCTTTCCCAAAGAGTCAATTTCGGGTTGATTTTCAAATCCACCCTTCGCCAATGGAGTCAGAGGACACATGAGCCAACATTTTGATTATGAATAAACAATTGTTACATAGTTGCAAATAATGTGTTAAGATGGTAGAGACCAGCCAGAATTATAAAGGCCATACAATTAAACAGCGTGATGATATCAAGGAGACCCAGCCTGGAAACCCTATATTCCACAGCTAATCCCAGTTAATTATACTCATATGTTTTCATATGTTGTATTTAGATTCATTATTACTAAATTTTAGGTAGTGCATTTTAGAAAAGGGTTTCTAGATTTTAAAAATTTACTTCTAAATTATAAAAATTTGAAATGAATAACACTGCCAGCTGTAATTCAAACAGATTCCGTTGGTTCTCACATTTGCTGTCACTACGCAGAAGTGACTTTGATCTCTAACCAGGAAATAGTTAGTGGTTAATAATATCCCTCATATTAATAATAGTAATATTCCAGAACTCTATATAAGCAGGAATTAACATACATTTCACAACATCAAAGAATATTCACTATATATTTAATTAATACTTGGCTTTTCCTATGAAAATAATAAAGATGTTGGTATAGTACAATGATGGGGAATATCATGGTCAGAAGTGAAGAGGAAAGCAACGTGAGCCCATTCTTGACCAATGAGCAGGGTCTGGCTGTTTCTTGGGAGACAGAGGTCCTTCCAGGCCATAGAAATACTGAGCACAAATGCAGAGAATGCAAAGGCTGCAGAGTTTTAGGAAATATTCAAAGAGATGTTTGGTCACAGAAGGGAATGGATCTGGGTAGTTAGTGTCAGGAAGAGATATAATGGAAGCAGAATGTATCTTTGGGGAAATGGGAGAGCCTTTATCTGTTTACCGTCAGCAGTGAAATGAATTCTTCTGTTTTGAGACTTGAGATCTAAGTCCAGAAGGAAGACATTGGAACCAGTTCCAGGGCCCTCCCCCGGGGCAACAGGCTATGTGGCAATGACCCTCCTAGACTGGCCCTGGGGTGATGCCAGTTATTACAAGGCCTTGCTGCATATTTTCTAGCAATTGAAAACTTTGACAGGTTATGTTGCAGAGAACACAATTTTTATCATCTGGTAGCTCTACTTCTATTTTTTCATAATCTTTAATCATGTTCTCCTCAAATTTCTCCAAACCAAATCTCAATTTCTTCTCCCTTAATTATATAAAGCAAACCCTTGAGATTTTACCTTCTATACTACACATCTGTCGAACAACCCTGACACCAAAATGAATTTCTTTTTCTAAAAAGGAGAGTGCCAGCTACTGTATCATTATAGTGTACGGCATCCGACAAAGAAGGTAATTTTGCTGTGAACCTCCTGAAGCAGCAGCATCCTCTGAGCAGATCCTCCTGGCCTTGTTTCCGCCAGCCTTTCTCACAGCTGTCTGCTCTGAGACTGCTGTACACGGAAGCAGAGAGATTAGTGCACAGAGTTCCAGTGACTCTGCCAGGCTGTGCCAAGCTGCTGGCACAGAGATACAGGGCCGAGTCCCCCAGCTCCAAGGCGCTCACATTCAGCTCAGAGTGATGATAGTCACAGAACTGGCGCCCTGAGAATCGATGAGGGAAGTTTCCTTCTGATGTCCTTAACTCATTAGCATATTCGAAGATAAACTGGGGCCCCTGACCAGGGGCCTGTTGGTACCAGGACACAGTGCTGTGCCCAGAGATAGGAGAGCATCTCAGAGTCACTTGCTGTCCTCTCGTTTTGATCAGGTGTGTGGGACTTTGGGTGACTCCAGTGTCCACTGAGCCTGTGGGAAAAGCAGATGGAGGATGAGCCAGGAGACAGCCTGGAGGTCCTCCCCGAGGTAAAGTGGAGGACACAGGGGTGGGAAGGCTGAGAATGGGGCTGCTGTCCAGTGCACAGGACTCACCTGCTCCCAGGAGACAAAGCAGCGCCCAGGAGAGGAGCCCGGGGCCCATGGCACAGTGGGGCAGGCAGCACTGCACCTGATGCAGGGCTTGGTCCTCCTGGGGAAGAGCTGAGTGAGTTCTGGGCCTTGATTTTGCTGATGCAAGGAGTATCTTGTGATGTCACTGTCCTGTGTCCTCCCCCTACAGGCTTCCTGAGTCCAGTGCTCCCCACAACCCAAAGTCTCTCCCTGCCCTGCAGAGCAGAAGGGTTGGGTGAAGGCAGAAGCTTCTGTGACGAGACAGTTGCTCCTCTGCCTACACTGCTCCAGCTCCCAGGCTGCCCCATCGCCCTCTCACCCTCCTCCCACCTAGTGCTGCGGTGCTCCATGCTGAAACTCACACACTGCCCATCAGCAGAGGGTGAAGAGCCTGTGATTAAACCTTCATGTTCCAGTTCTTCCTGGCTGTCCTAAGGTCATCTCTCTGATGTTAGATTCAACCAAATTTTCTGGTTCTATTTTTTCGTCTTCAGATAACATTTCCAGCCCCTCCCTTGAGTGGCCAGTGGTACAAAAGTCCCCAAGATTTAGTCTATCTGACCAGATCCAAAGCAGACCTGGGTTGTCTGTAAATTAAGAGTACAGATTCCCCAGAAATAACACTAGGGCTTTATCAGCTCACAGAACAGACCTAGCCAGCCAGTTTGGGATTCAGCACCCTCAAGGCCATCTTATGCATAGTGATCTGGATAATTTATGTTAATTTCTCCAGATCCACCCTGCCTTCAGAGGCTGACCCCAGTGTATTATGTTAACTGGCTCCCTTCTTCTCTAACTCCAGAGTGAGTTTGGCTAATGGGAGACAATGTCAGGAGAGCAGACGGAGGTAGGGTCACCACTTGTTCTGATTTGTCTATGCCCTGGTTCTCCTCTTGCTTCGTTATTTTATATTGGTTACTCTTCCCTACCAAAGGCCATAGCACCTTATAGGCAGCCTTGCCTTAAAGCTACAGTACCAGATGCTTTGGGATCCACATCCTCTCCTACTAATTTCAGGCCAATGTGAGGAAGAGCCACAGATTCTGCTATTCCTAGGCTACTTCTGCTTCTCTTATTGGGTTCCCTTAACCCTGCGACACCTTTGCAAATACTCCTTTTTGTCCCTCCTTGATATCTCCAGGACCACAAGTAATAGAAAGAGCAATGGAAAAGCGAGTCTGGGATATTTTATTTTGCCTTGAGAGTTAACACAATTTCTAACATTCTGCCATTAGAAGTAATAAGATTTCTAACATCCTGCAATGAGCGTTGCTGAGTCAGGAGAACCATGAGAAATATGCATATGACAATAAACCATGTGACAGTGGACATAGAATCCAAAGAGATCCCAGCAGAGACTCACGGTGCACGCTCACCTACTCTGACCTATCCCCATAAAAGACGGGAGTCCTATACAAATAGATGCTTGTATTCTGTACCGTCCAATTTAGAAATGCATCATATAAAATAAGAATAAGACAGGAACACACTCATGACCACATAAAATACGGAGAATGTGAGACGTGCTTCTTGCTGAGATATACAACAGCCAAATTTAGTATCAAAATGAGCTGGGCTGATAAGAGGCTAAGACACAACCGAGGATCAATGGCTGAAAGAAAGCTATAGACAAAGAAAAAAACGCTCACTCGCTGTTGAAGTCATACCAAGAACCATGAACTGTTATAAATTTAATAATTTGAGAAATTGGGCGTTCATCGGTCTCACATATTAGCCTTTCATATTGGTTTTCAGCAGATTGGCCAATTGGTGATTTTTTTTTTTTCTGCCAAGCAAGCAGCCCACTCCTCTTTTTGAGAGGGGGGTCCTGGGTGACCCAGCACTCTCCCCTCTTGGCAGCCTCACAGGGGGACATTGGGCAGAGAAGAGACATATGGGGTTCTCTGCACATGAGGCATGTATTTCCCGTGAAACCCAGCTATGGTCCTCCCAGTCCTTCAGTTAATGGATCCCAACATAAGAAGTCTTGCACCGGGATATGGGATTCTCCCTGGGGATGCTAAAGAGGACGACAGGCTAAAGGAAAATGAAATGCGTGTTCTATATTATTTTATAATATTTTACAAGAAAAACAAGTTAAGGGACTCACGGATTCTAATCCAAGTCACAGTGATGGTAAGAATTAATTTCCTTCCTTCATCTATCCTCAGAGGAACTCAAACAGGTACTTAAGTGAGAGGCTTACAATCTTTTTTATAATTCTACTAGCTGATTATTTTCAGGTCTAATGGCAGAGTTTGTTGCATCTATTAACATTGTCACTAAGTGGATTGTTCCCTTGTGTGTTTGTAACTTTATAAAGAAAAAATCGGATTTTCTTGTCCTCCAGAGAACACACGCTCGGTATCCAAAGGAACCAAAGCCAAGGTGATGTTATGTGTACTACATGAGAATCCCAAATCACTCAAGCAGGCCAAAGCTTCCCAGTTGCTTTCTGCTTTCTTCTTCTCCCTTGAAAATAAAGTGAAATATGAATTTCATGTTGGAAGCTACTGTTCCTTTGTACAATTCCCAGAATATTCCAAATTGAGGAAAATAGCGTTATGTTGTTTGCATTTACACATCCCCACTACAGTGATAGACCCCAGCTCACTCTAAGTTTCATGCTTCAGGAGCACACATAGAATGAGATCCCATTGCTGGGAAGTCTGGGAAGAGCTTCAGAAAGGGCAGCTTTTTCTTCTGGTTGAGGCAGGGCCTTCCGTAAGGAGTACCCACCTCCAACCTGTGGCTGCCCTTTTGGTGCAGAGAGCAGCTGGCTGTACAGGGCTGTGGATGCACTGCCGCAGAGGTACAGAGAAGTCCGGCTGGTGCTGGTGGATGCCAGGCTCAGGGGAAATGCTCAGGCTTGTTTCCAGAGACACTGTACCCTTCTGTGACATCAACTTTGGTCCTGCTGCCACCACTACCTGAATAACGGATCAATTTCAGCCTCTGTCCTGGGTCTTGTCGATATCAGAACATTGAATAATGGTTCCTAACCTGAGCACATTCCAGGATCATCTCTTTCCTGTCTGTATAATGTAGTATCTTGGTGTCTGGGTGATCCCAGCATCAACAGAGTCTGCTGGAGAGGCAGATGGAAAGTGAAGACAAGAGTTAAGAGGTAGGGGGACTCTTCAGAGGAAAGAGGAAAAAAGGCTTGGAGCCCAGACATTGCAAACCCATGACAGGGTTTTGCAGCTGTTTCCAGGACTCATATGCTCCCAGGAGACAAAGGGTCATGCAGAAGAGTTTGGGGTTCATGACAGGGTTAGAGTGAGGAGGGACTCTCCCAATTAAGTGCCCTGATCCTCAGGACTGTGAGCTGGGGCTTGGAGGCCCCTCTCTAGGGAACAGTCTGGTGGGCCTGTGGTGTCATCCCCCATGCCTTAGGAGTCCAGCTGTCCAGGGTGTTCTGACTGGTCTCAGGCAGGATCCACCTCCTCTCATGAAGGCTGTTGCCCGGCGAGGCCTGCAGGGAAGATAGGGTGCAGCAGAGACACACTGGGCTTAGGGCACAGCCCGCCCCTCGCCTCCCCATGTTCCTTTGAGGCAGTTGCTCCTCTGTCTGCACCTGCCCCTGACACCAAGGTTGCCGGCCAGAATTCTTCAACTGTGGATCTCATTAAAGATTAGAGGTATTTCCTGAATCTTGCATAGCTGTAGGTAGCCTAGCAATAACTGTAAACTGTTGCAACATTTGCATAATATTGAATCCCAGCCTTAATTTTTCTTAACCCTTCCCCTCCTAGGCTGCTCTCCCAGGCTGTCCCCAGAGCCCCTTAGATCCCAGTGGACCACAGTGCCATCTTGTGGCCAGTAAGTTAAGTTTCATCATTGCTTCTGCAATGGCCCAAGGGATGCTGGGAAGTGTCTGCAGAGTGAGCTGGGAGACTATTCTGGAAGTGCCATCCTGCAGGTTTTATGAGCAATCTCCCTAAGCCCTGATTCCAACACTGGTTCTAACCCTGACTATGGCTTTTCTCAAAGCTGAATATCCCACCCTCATTCAAAATAACTCTTATCACATAGCAGCCATTAGAGTCTAACTGATATTTTCTCCCTTAAAACTATCATATAAAGGGAGCGGGATAGAATGGGAGGAATGGAAGAAAATTGGATTTACTCTGAAGTAGGAGGAACATACAGGAATTGAAGTGCATAGTTATTTCATTTCCATTACCAAAGATGAAATACATGTCCCCCAAAATAACAGTCAATGTTACCATGAAAATAAAGATTAGCAGAAGATTGGGACGATAATGAGATTACCTTCAAGACAGCATCAAATATGTATTAATGAAAAGTAAAATTTGAATGTAAAAAGTAGGATCCCTTGCAGGCAACAAGTAATCTTGAAGGGAGCAGTATCCAACGTGGAAAATAAGGATGGATAATGAAGACCAGCAAAGGGCCTTCCACAGAAAATGATTAACGTGTACAACGCACATCTGCTGATCTGAGCAGCAGACATGCAAGCAATGATTCTGGAAGAGGCAGAGGAGCGTTGTGAGATGAGGATGCAAAATAGTATCATAAGGAAGCAAGGAGAGAGAGGAGGAGGTTTGTGAGCAGGAAAGAGGCGATTGTGTCATGCTGTGGTTAAGCTGCTGGCACAGAAGTACATGGCTGAGTCCCCCTGCTCTGTGTGTTGGATCTTCAGAGTAGAGACGGATCCTTCAGGCCGTGTTGCAGAGACCCGATCACTGCGCAGCCCTGAGTCATCTGCTGCACCCGTGCCTTGGAAGTAAATTAGAAACTCTAGGCCCTGCCCCAGGTTCTGTCGGTACCAGTAAAGGACAGCATGACCTGAAATTGGATCACACCTGAGCGCTACATCCTTTCCCTTCTCTGTGACCTTGTTACTGGGGGACTGGGAAACTCCAGCACCTGTGTGATCTGTGGAGACACAAGTTGAAAACAGAATGAAGAAAGCAGTTGTACTCATCTCACACATATACACATTCACACAAACACACACACAATGAGGCTGGTTGGTGTCTGAGGACTCACCTGCCCCCAGGAGGCACAGGGCAGCCCAGCAGAGGAGCCTGGTGCCCATGGCAGAGTCAGGGCAGGATGGGAGCTTTGCCAGATCAGAGTCATTGTGAGCAGGAGCAGAGGAAGAGGGACGTCCCTGTCCCCACAGAGCAGTTCCCACAGTGACATCACTTCCTCTCTCAATCCCCACAATCTCAGGAACACAGGATTTATATTAGAACACACTTAGATGACTGCTTTAGATATTTATTAGCTCCTTTTAAACAACATAAATGCATCGGTCTTCACTTTGTTCTCCAGAGCTGTCTGGAGCTAGAGGCCTCATGCTGCATCTCTGAGTTCATCTCCTCACCCCACAGCCGCGCCTCTGTCTGCTGGGCATGTTTTCTAGGATGTGCCATCAGCGTCCCCAACACAAGGCACCAAAGGGTGAGCTCATTGCCTTTTCTGCAAGTCAGGGTCCCCTGTACCATCCCATTCATGCCCTAGCCGCCTCCATCCCCCCAGTCACACGTGCCCAACAGGACTGCCCCATCACATGGGTTCCCTCACCAGCTGCACCTCATGCCTTTCTTCTGGGACTACTTCCCACCTTTGTTGGCTATAATTCAAAAAAGATAACTTATTGGAAAACTCATAGTCTTTTTTTTTTATTTTTCCATTTGTAAATATATTTTCCTCCATCTCAGTATTTAATGAATGGGGATCATAATTCTTACTAAATGGTTATTTTTGATCCTCTTTCTTGACTTTCATTGATCTTTTCAGTCTATTCCACCAGGAGAGATTTATCTTTTCTTTGGGACTGCTTTTAGAATCTTCTCTTTGTCACTTGTGTTCCACAATCTCACTATAATATAAACATTTATTTTATTTCATATTCACTTGAATTCTTGAAACTGAGAATTTAGGTCCTGAAACACCCCTGGAAAATTCTCAGCTAGTGTCTCATCGTGATCACTTATTCCCTCTACTTTCTTTTTCTGAAACTTCAATTATCTATAAGAAAAACGGGAAATATATGTTTACATAATATATAATTTTAATTACATATTTATTTATATATGATACATATAAAAATATATTATACATATAAAAATATATTATATAAATATATAAATATAAATATATATTATATAAATATACATATTATATATATAATATATAATATATATTATATTATATAAATATATATTATATTATATTATATATTTATATGTATAATATTATATATTATATTAATTATAATTAATATTTATATTAAATCAATTATATTTATATTAAATTCATTATAATCAATAATTATATTAAATATAAATTTTATAAATATAAATAATATATATTTATATGTTATATATAAATAAACATATAATTAAAAATTATATATTCTACTGTGCTGGAAACCACCCGTAAGCTCTCTCTCAGGTTACATATTTAATATTCAGTGCTGCATTCTATGTAACTTCTTCAGCTTTGTCCCTGACATCACTAATAATCTCTTAGAAGCATTTCATCTTTTCTTCATTTCCATTTTGTTTTCAGTGATAATCTTAATCATTTCTATATTGAATTTGATTATTTTTTAATGTTACCTTGATGGTTTCTGGCAGTCTCCTTTTTCTTGTTCACATTTCAATTCCCTTTAAATATAGTTATACAGACTTTCATATATTTTAATGGTAAAGATTTCTTGTCTTCATACACTTCAATTGCTAATTGTTTCTGCTCACTTGTCTTCATTGGTTCTTGTTTTAATAGTCTTAACAGTAGAAGCATATTTATCTGACATTAATCTATGGCATTCAAGAGAGGCCTGCACTGAGAGTGAAGAACTTCAAGACTCCATAGTTTTTCCAACTGTCTCCAGTCTTACCGCCAAATTCATGGGGCCAAGAATTGTCTGTTGCACTGTGGATTGCTAAACACTCTCATGGTTTGAGTTCCTGGGGAACATGCTCTCAGGACAGCCACAATGTACCCTCTAGAACACAATTCTGATTTTCTCTTGCTTTTACATGATACCTTCTCCACAAATTAGCAACTATAAGGCTGTTCCCATCCTGTTCTTCCAAGAGAAAACAATATACATATATTTTTAAAATCCTAAATCTACAAATGTGCCCTCTTCGGGGTTTTGCTTTTGTTCCTAACCCAAAACTTTAAGAAATAGCTTAGATATTAGAATTATATACAGAAAGTTTACCCTCATTCAGCTTGAAGAACACATATTTTAAATTGGAAATTCCCAGACTGACAAACTGGCTTGCACGGTACATGGTCCTATGCTTGTTCAACAAGTGAGTACCCCTTGATGAGCTCATAGCACAGCGTCTCAGGCAAAGTTAACTCTAGATCTCTGACAGGGTACAATGAATCGAGTGTGTTCCTGTTATTGGCTCATTCACCCACTCATTACTCACTCACCTGTCACTCACTCATCCAGTCTCTGTGAAATGAATGAGGACTCCCTGCCTGCGAGGCACTGCTGGTGGTGAATGCAACAAGACCAGCCTTCACCCTCATAAACTTTAAAATTAAGTGGAGCACAAAACGAGTAAGACAAGTTGCAAGGAAAAATTGCAACTGTGCTGAACTTTACTAACAGGCACATGATTCCATGAGAGCTTATGAGAGGGAAATTGAAATTTGACCTCAGCTGAGAGTTGAGGGGGTGCTTCCAGTAGGAGGGCTGATCACGCTGAGATCAGAAATGCAGGTAGAAGCTGACCACTGCAGAAAGGAAGGCACTAGCCCAGGGTGGAGGAAATGGCCTTTGAGGTCTCTGTGATGGGAAGGAAGGAGGCACAGAAGAGGCAGCCTCATGGCTGCAGTAGAAGGGGAGGGCAGGTGTTGCGGAGAGGCCCAACAAGGCCCTTCGGGGGGGACTGCTCAAATGGGA